AGCTGGTTCCCTAAAATAGGAATTAGGTGAAATTTGGTTTCATTTTGGTACAATTTTCCATTTATATTTAAACAAAGAAATTTTAATTGTTTTATTTTTATCAACACAATTTTAGTAATTCATTATGCATGTAAAAAGGAATATTCAAACCCATCACATGTCTCTTAACTTTTAAAAGTTACTCCTTTTGATTTGGCTTTTGGGTGTTGCTAATTTGTTGCCTAATCATTTATTCACATATGAATAAATCCAAAGTTTGGCATTTTTAGATTGATAGGTAAAAGGAATTCCATTAAAGGCAAAAGCATTGCTCCTTATACTTTATTATAAAGCTTCTTTAATTTTGTATGAAAGCTTCATCATAACTTCTATCTAATATCACTTTTCAATTATTATCAAACTTTATTATAAATAAACATGCTAGTATTCTACGAAAAGAGCATTTGGCCTAGCGGTATCGTAGTTCTTTACCTAATATGAGGTCAGAGGTTCAAACCTGACCAAATGTGAGAAGGGTGTGTGAGTGTGTTTGTTGCATTTGCTGTATATAAATATTATATACTTCAAAAAAACATGCTAATATTATGTATATTTTATTATCATATTCAAAATTTTCGACATGATATCCAGTATTGTGACGGATTTTCTTTTCAATTAATACACTGTAGTAACAATTTTTTGGAACTATAATTTTTATTCTTTACGTGCATACCTTACTTATATGTAGATGCCCAGAAATAAACAAAAGACCCATTACCTGACTCTTGTCAAAGCATGGTTTGAGGAGCGTTTCTTTTAAGGACTGAACTCGAGCTCGATCTAGTCAATCGAGCCTACAACAATCCCCTTTTTCGAGCCATATCTGATTAATGATATGTCTAGTCAAAGCCCAGTTAACCGGTTCGACAAATGACCAAACTAGGTTGGTCAATTCCCTCGCAACTACTTTTTAAAATTCTAGGCATTAAGAATATTTGTGTAGAAGAAACATAAAGATTAATCAGGGGCGGACCTATAGTGGTGCATTGTGTGGCACGTGCTACCATATTATTCCTCCATCGAAGGGTAAAAAAATTTAGGTTCGTGAAAGGTGCAATCGTATTAATTTGTTGTGTCACCATATGTATTTTGAAACTACAATGAGAATAAGTTTTATTTGGTAAAGTTGGTTTGCAAGACTTTTATTCCCTCCCAGACCCAAACTCGAACTTTGTTAGTGTCATTTTTTTAGTCAAATGGTGCCACCGTTTGAATTTTTTTTTTCATATATTTGTTTCTTATAGTCAAACGGTGCCATCGTTTGAAATTTTTTCCCTATATTTTTTTCTTATAGTAAAATGATATCACCGTTTGAAAAAATTTATAGGTCCGTTCCTGAGATTAATTCATTTTATTTTTTAAAATCAGTCTTAGAGGCTGTTTACTTGCGACTTAATTAGGCTTATTGGTCTATTTGGCTTATTCGCACAACTCATTTGGGTTGTTTACTTACGACTTTTTCTCACAGAACATGGCTTAATCGTACAGATAGAAATGATGTGTTGTTCCCATTCAGCCACAAAAATAACACCCCTACCCCTTATTTAAAGCATCGCCTCCTTTCCAAATGAGACGCCCTATCGTTAATCTCTTTATGATTTTTTGTTTTGATGTTCAAATAATTAATATTGGATGGTAAATCGGTCATTTATGTTATTCACATTGTTGGTTCAGATAAAAAAAATAAACAACAACACCTATTTATCCAAACAGACAAATTTATCCAAACAAACAAATTTATCCATACAAAACCAGCGAAAAACGTCTTATCCGTCCATTCTGATTTTTAGACCCGGTTTATTTAAATACGTAAGGCTTTTTATTAAAATGACGTTAATATTAAATATAAATAATAATGAAAAAGGATGGTGAATTGGTGAGTCACGAAACATACCATGCGCCTGCAACAATAAAAGGATCCAATGAGACATAGACAAGTCGTACATCATATGTGGTGTGTCCTACCACACTGGAATATTTTGATACATACAATGTACTACCGTAGTCCGTAGAGGTCCCATGCTTCCATTTCTAGGTGTGTTTTTTTGGGCTTTTAAAGCCAACCTTTTTTATCAACATTTGAATGTGTTAATGACACGGGGAATCAATACAAATATTCATTTTAAAGTTTTATATTATTTTTTAAGGCTTGTATGTTTATCAGTTTTATTACAAGACAATATTTGAATCGTTAAGAGGTGAATCTTATTTAATAAAAAAATATGTCTCTTAATGGTTCTAAAACTCTTTGAATGATTTTCTCTTCTAAGTCTCTTTTAACTATTCAACGCCCTAATTTATAATTGTATTTCATTTTGCACTATATCATGATAGCCTTGTAATCATTCTGATCACTTAATTATTCTGTACTATACCATTCAACAATTGTCAAACAGCCCGACTTACGTTAAGTTAGAGAAATGGATACTCTTGCTTCATAAAAATTCTTTAATCTGTCAAATATTATATATATATATATATATATATATATATATATATTGTCGAGTCAAAATGGTTGAATATTCATGGACATATGGCATTTTAGCATGTTGATTAACCATAAAGAAGGCCAAATCTCCCATGTTAACAGATGGCGTCTTATTGTTTACAATAACCGACGAATCTTAGAGTCTATTTGGTTTGCATGATTGTATTTAAGGGATTTAAATTTGAAAGGATTTAGATTGAAATAGATTTGAAATCATTGGTGTGTTTGGTTTGTAGGATATGAAATAGAATTGGATTCCATTTTTTATAAATAATTTATAAAAGTAATTAGATTACATTTTTATTAATCAATTATTATACAACAAATGTTTTTAACATTTTTTAAAATCTTATTACGTAAAATCCTACGAAATCTCGTGAAATCCCGCCCTCAGGATTTCAAAATCCTATGTTTGTAGGATGAAAGGTTTTCCACAGCATCTGTGGTTTTTACCTGTTCAGGTTACTACCTTATGTCATGTATTTGTAGCTGCTTTTCCTACACTCTTTTTTTTTTCTTTTTCAAAGAAAAAAGGTCGGTTTAGGCTCCTTCCCTTCCACCGCATAGCTGCGGTAGTAGGTACTATGAGCCCAAGTCCGCTACAAGCCGAGCGAAAAAAATGACTCAACCGAGCCGAGGCACTATTCACCAAGTGGAACTATATACTATTTTTTATCCCGAAATGATGAATTGAGCTCGTATAGGCATTTTGCTAGATTTTAAATCCAGACAATCCAACAAACCAAACATGCAAATCCATTTCATTCTTGCAAAACAAATGGGATTGTTCCAAGATGAGAGTTTTTATTAACAATAACAGATAACTATACTTGTTTAAATTGTTGAAACTTGCTTAAATAATTTAATGGTTCTGAATTCAGAACATGTAATTCTGCACTGAACTGGTGAAAGTATATTAGAAAATAAATGAAAAACAAATGTTTTGTCTTCCGGGATTTTGTTACGTAGATTATAAAAGCATCTCCAGCAGATTAATTGAAATGGAGAAAATGAGGATTTTGTACAGATTTTTACTTCAATAGAATCTCCAAAATGAAAAAGCAGGAGAGAAAGTACGATTTTGGAGAATTATGGGCTGTTTACTAAACGTTTATCCGGAAAGTGCTTACCCGGTAACTTTTCTTACCAGATGAACATAACAAGGGTCAAAAATCTTACCCGGTAAGAACAATGATAAATATGAAAAGTCTTACCCGGTAAGTAAGAGTGATGACTCTTACCCGAGTAAATGCTTACCGGGTCAATTGTTCCATACGATACCATTTTGATGTATTACAATCTTACCTGGTAAAATAAATTATAGTGTTGACTCTTAACGATAAACGCTTACCCGGTAAGCATTTAGGTAAACGGCCCCTTAGTTGGAGATCTTCTAAAAGGAACATTTGTTTCAAACTATGATTAACAAGAAAGAATTAGTTAGGGGGTTTAAAAGCAATAAGTACAAAGTTGTGGTGGTTATCTGCAAAGTGATGTAAACTTCAGGGTCTTTCCCGCCACAAGGAAATTGACCAACGGTTAACCGTTTTGAACGATCAATGTCCCTAGAACACCTCTAGATTTCAGCCTCAAATTTCGACCCATTTAGGCTCACATCTGTCTCTCGCGCGTGCCAACCCCTAGTTTTCCGTTTTCTTCCTTCGTCTTCGATCCTTTCAGAACAGAAATCATCTGGTAGAATGAAAGAATTAATGGAAGAATTTTAAGGTAAGTTCATTCCTTCAATTTGATCTAAAATGTTATTTCGATGTGTGTGTGTGTATAAGATAGTGCTTATGCATGTTCATTTTACCTTCGTTGTTCTGTGAATTGAATCTGGAGAATTTTGTTGTGAATTCGGATCGGATGTCCAAATTGCTACCGTTGTTTTTCAGAATTTGTACTCGATAATGGCTCCATGATAGGGTGTACCGATCATATCAACTGCTCAAAAGTCGAGATCCCCTTTTGTATTTGAGTCGTATGATTGGGATCGATTTTCTAGCTGTTACTGGAGTTTTCTCATTATGTAATGGCATATCATTTGATCACATGCATCAAAAAGCTTATTTTCTTTTCTGATCTCCTCTGCTCCATGATTCATGTTAACGTTATCCAGCTGAATTGAGCAGAATTTCTAATACGTTGATTTGACTGGTGCAAGATATGAATTAATGACAAAAAATGGCGCTTGATTTGTCAAAATATAAAGCTATATGATTATGTGATCCTTGTATGTGTCTGGATTGGTGATCGATTGGTGAACAGAGTAAAGTATTGCTTCTCGTTTGTGTTAATCTGGTGTTTTTCCTGTTCCTTGTAGTGTTCATGATATCAGACACATTACAACTGCAAGTAGCAAAAATTACAGGGAGATCGTGGTGGTACCGTTGACAGTTAAAAGATCTTGAACGTCTTCTTAGGTGGACGTTATCATGATCGGATCTTCTTTCTCCCGCGTTCACTTCACAAAATGTTTGATTGTTGTTACAAGACAACATACATAGGCGGCCAAAAAGAGGGGTTTGTAAGGTACAAGTTACTGAAGCACCATCTGTTAAGGTTTTCTTTAGCAAAACTAGCTAAAAAACTAACCATTGGCTTATAACCATTGGCACATAATTATTCTACATTTGGGATTCATTTCTATTTCAGGTTGGATGATCTGGATTGGAATTTGTCATATCCATCTAATACAGGTGCAATGAAAAGGTTTGGGTTCAATATAGAGGGAGTACCCCCTCCTGGTCCTCCACGGCCTACTGCGTCTAAGTCGATAAAGTTAGGAATGAGAAGAGGGTCTGAAGGACTTATAAATTTTGGGCAGAGTTTAAGAACCGGAGTCACCCGGGCAGTGTTCTCGGAAGATCTCAAAGTGTCCGAGAAAAAAATAATCGATCCTCAAGACAAAAATCTACTGATATGGAACAAGTTTTTGGTTTTATCTTGCATTCTTGCCGTATATGTGGATCCTTTATTCTTCTACATACCTGTTTATCATAACAAGGACAGATGCTTAAAAATACACAAAAGTTTAGCACACTCCATCACAACGGTGAGGACCATAGTTGATATTTTCTACCTTGTCCGCATTGGTCTCCAGTTTCGCACAGCATATATTGCTCCTTCTTCTCGAGTTTTTGGACGTGGCGAACTTGTAATAGATCCTGGACAGATAGCAAGGCGATATATGCAACGTTATTTTATTGTTGACCTTCTTTCAGTGCTACCTTTACCACAGGTTGAAGTACATTGTTTGCACTTTTTCTTCTCCGCTTTCTTGATGTTAGCAATCATAGAAGCAGTGTCTTTCTTTGGCTATCTTATGGGAGAAGGGAAGTGTTAGAGTCCCACGTCGGCTAGACTTGGACCTCAATATATGTTGGAATCTCCATTCTCTTCTCAAGGGATCTTTTAGAGAATATTCTAATGAGGTTCCACTTACTCTCACTTGGTATCAGAACCAAGGTACCACTTTAGGGACTCAACACTCTGGGAAATATGTGGTTGTCTATCCTCCATTGGAGGGGGCATGTTGCATTCCTAATCTGCTAGACTTGGACCTTTCTTCTCAATATATGTTGGAACCTCCTTTATCTCCCAAAAGGCTCTTTTGGAGATGATCTAATGGTGTTCCAAGATTGTTGTTATGTTTTCCTTCTGATGTTATTTAATGATCCTGCGCAGATTGTGGTCTGGAGGTTCCTTCACAGGTCAAAAGGTACAGGTGTGTTGGGCACAAAGAAGGCTTTACTATGGATTGTAATTGTGCAATACATTCCTAGGTCCGTCCGTATCCTACCACTGTTTTCAGAGCTCAAAAAGACTGTGGGTGTCATTACTGAGACGGCTTGGGCCGGTGCAGCATATTATTTGGTTTGGTTTGTTCTTGCTGGCCATGTAAGTTTCTTTGATCTCAAACCAATTACTTTCGGAATTTAATATAGATTGTTTCCTGGGGTCTTCATAAAAACAACATCTCTATCCTTAGGGGTAGAGGCAAAGGTATGCATACATCTTACCCTCCAAAGACCCTACTGATATACTGGGTTTGTTTGGTTTTGGTTTGGGTTTGTTACTAGCATGCAGCACCAATCTCAAGTTTTATCATTAATAATATACTGAAGAACTATATTTTCTTAGTACAGTTGAAAGGGTACCAAATACAGATAGAATTTATGCATGCAAATGTTCGTTTGGTGTTTAAGCATCTGATATAAGTTATATTAACAGATTTTTGGGGCTTTCTGGTATCTGTTAGCCGTGGAACGTAAAAGTACATGCTGGGAGCTAACTTGTAAAAAGGATGATAGATGTGAAATAGAATATCTCTACTGTGGGCATGCGGAAACGGAAGGCTACAAAGCTTGGATGAAAGTCAGCCAGGCCACTCTTGATGAACACTGCCTTGAAAATGAGGCATATGGTGAATTCGATTATGGGATCTACTTACAAGCTGTGCAATCTGGAGTTGATTCATCCGAACATTTTCCGTCTAAATACTGCTATTGTTTGTGGTGGGGCTTGAGAAACTTGAGGTCAGTGAATGATCCTTTTTATGTGTGAGTTCTGATTTAGGGGGAGGGGTGGCTAGTGGCACTTAAGGTGGTGTTAGTTTTTTTAACCTTCCATATCCTTATTTATGCATCTAGTTGTGAGATCCTTTACTGTTTGTCAACCTTAGTATTTCATGTTTTTGACTGTATGTCAACCTTAGTTTACTTGCTTTTACTGTATGTCAGCCTTAGGGCCTGTTGTCAGCAGCTTAATGAGACTCATAGCTTATATTGTTTGGTAGTGGCTTAATGATATAGAAAATGTCTAATTCAATAAGCTTCTAGGGGGAACCTTTACAGAAAGCCAAGTTTCTTCCAAACATGTCTCTCCCAATTAAAAAACACAATTCTACCATTTATGAAAAAACCATCCCAAACAAAAAACTTCTCGATCTATACAGACAAGTTAATCCATACAAGACTTAATGAGACTGTTTCCCTGACTTAGGGGCTGTTTACTGGTCTCTTATTGCCTCTTACCCACTCTCATCAGGTAAGAGCCTCTTTCTTACTGTTTACCAAAATACAATATTCTTCTGACTGCTGACTGTTCATCTGACGGGGGACAGAGAAAACATTGATACTTACTACGTTCAGCGGTATCCTCTTCCTTGGATTAGTCTTTTTTTAGTAAGTTTTGCACACACTTCGGTGCTACTTACCACATTTGTTCCCTGTTTTTTTGTTTTCAAGCCGAGGGTGGCCTCACTACCCCTTAGGATAGAGATATGTTCTGAGTACATCTTATCCTCCCCAGACCCTACCTTATGTAATATTTATTGGGTTCATTTCATTTGGTTTATGTGAGGGTTCTGATAAGGAACTAGAGGTGAGACAGGAAAGAGGTGAGATGTGAAGGAACCGGTAGTGTTAATCATGACTACAAGGTCATGAGTCACCAAATCCACATCTTTGCAGCAAGTAAAAACTGTATAAAGAATTCCCTTCCAAACCTGGCAAAACAAAATTAGATTTATAAGACGCCTAAAATGTCTAAGCATTCTAATAAAATATTTCACACGACTTAAGTATATAGGACCAAACTATAAAGCTACCTATTTAAAAGTGTGACAAATAGGTTTATAGGACAATCTTGGGCGTTTTAACAAGTTTTTTAGGACGACTTTAAACTAATATGTTGTATTAGCTATTTTATAGGACACTTATGAGAAATGTCCTATGAACACACTTGTGTTTATAGGATACCTTTTCAAATAGTGTCAAATAAAATAAATAATACGACACTTTATCTTAAAACATCCTAAAAAACTTGTTAAAACTCCCAAAAACGCCCTATAAACCTATAGTAACACTTTTACATATAACACCTTTTGTTTGGTTCTATAAACTTAAATCCCATAACGCATTTTATTAGGACACTTGGACGTTTTATACGTCCTATAAACCGAATGTTGTTGTAGTGAAGACATTAAGATCGGCCTTAAACTTCTGACGCAATGCAAATTTCCGCTTAGAGTTTCCATATAAAATTTTGATGCTATGTTGCATCTTCAAACAAGTGATATTTGTATATTATGAATTCTTATTATGGCTAGCTTTTAAGTTCTCTAAGCCTCTCTCATTTAATTTGATTTTGTGTAATGACATTTGACAGTACACTCGGCCAGGGGCTCGAAACCAGCACCTATGCTAAAGAAATTATTTTCTCGATCATAATCGCAATATCTGGGCTCATACTCTTTGCCCTTCTCATCGGCAACATGCAGGTAAGAACATGCGTGAAGCTCTTTATTCGTTATCACTTACGAGTCAAAAGTTGCATCTACTATCACTCCAACAAATTGCGTTGTTTGGGATGTCTAATAGAGCACTTAACAAGACTTTAAGTCTATAGGTCCATCTTATACAATAGCAATATTTGTATAAGAACAAATATAAGGATATTTTTCACAAAACCATCATCACTCTGTTGGTTAGTTCATTGCTTTTTCATACGTGAGATCATGTGTTCAAGTTTTTTTATTGCAAATTTTTTCCAGAAACATAATAAACCTGAAATTAAAATCTAAAAACTATGAAAATGACACCAATGAGAATCGAACTCGGGTCTGGGGGTGCAAGAAAAGCCTTGCAAACCAAATCTACCAAGGAAAACTTGTGCCCACATTGTAGTTTCAAAATATATACGGTTGCACATAACAAATTGATATGATGACACTTTTCACGACCCTATAATTCTATACACTATGAAGGAGGAACGAAACAGTGATACATGCCACCACAAAAACCATGGGCAAAGGACATGATTGAATACATCTCATCATAGACCCCACCTCCAAATGGACATTAAGTTTATAAGGCCAACTTAATGTCATTATAAAAATAACTGTCCAGTTAAGTAGTCTACTAGGATGCCTAAGGACGGTCGAGCGTCCTAAAAGGCTCATGTGAATGTAGTGTATGTGTATTGTTGGATCGATTGTACTACAATTAAAACTTGAAAGGCACATTGCGTTTCGGTTTTCCAACAGACTTATCTTCAATCCCTTTCGGTTCGGCTGGAAGAGATGAGGATTAAAAGGCGAGACTCCGAACAATGGATGCATCATCGGTTACTTCCCCAGGAGCTCAAAGAACGAGTCCGAAGCTACGATCAGTACAAATGGGTGGAAACAAGAGGAGTAGATGAAGAGAGCTTGGTTCAGAGTCTACCAAAAGATCTCAGGAGGGATATCAAGAGACACCTTTGTCTGAATTTAGTCAAAAGGGTATGTACTCTTTCCCATTCTTTTCAAAATTGTAGCATTTTGGCATGCACATGGGACTGTAAAGGATTGGACGAGACAAAACTGACTGGGAGAGAGTGTGATGTTGGAGGGTCAAAAGAATTATACTAAGGTTTTAGAGTATGAATTTGATGAGGGCAGTTTAGTAATTTACCAATCTTACTTCGTCTCCCTGTTTTCTATTCCACCTATTTGGTAGGACCAAATAATAGTCATGTCCCATCCTAGTCTTAATGTCACATTAAACATAGGACAACAAGTTTTGTTCTATCTTGTCCTATTTTCGTCCTATATACCAAACACAATTTTAGGGGTCGCTCACCGAACATTTTATCAGGTAAGTGCTTACCAGCAAGAATCACTACTTTCATTTACCTTATCGTGTAACATTCTCGGCTATCAAAATGGATTGTTGGTAAACGCTTACCGGGTAAGAGTCTTCTTCATCACTTACAGTTATTGAGTAAGTGGTAAGATTCTCGATCCTTGTTATTTCTCTACCGGGTAAGATTCTTGGTCCTTACCAACTCACCAAATAAGGTAAGTGACATCTGATAAACGCTTACCACGGTAAAAGTTTGGTAAACGACCCCTTAATGTCTTTACATAATTTTTCTAAGATAAAGAAGTAAAAGTCAAAATCTTGAGAAAAAATTACATTCAAACTCCAAAGATTTTTATTTTTAAAATTTTCAGCATTAAATTATATTTCTTTTTTTAGGAATAATTAAAAATTCATCCTATTTTCTCCATTTTAAAAAAGCTGTTCGAGAAATAAAAACTCCGAAATCTCTTTTGTTCCATTTTGAGTAGCTGTTGGAGATAGCTTTTACCGTAGAGTTCAACATTTGAGGAGCCATAACACTTGTTCCTGTTAAATCTTTGCAGGTTCCGTTGTTTGCAAATATGGATGAACGCTTACTCGACGCCATATGCGAGCGTCTTAAACCGAGTCTCTACACAGAAAAGACGTATGTTCTAAGGGAAGGCGACCCGGTCGACGAAATGTTGTTCATAATCCGGGGTCGTTTAGAAAGTGTCACCACGGATGGTGGGAGAAGCGGGTTTTTCAACCGGGGTTTCTTAAAAGAAGGCGATTTCTGTGGGGAAGAATTGCTAACGTGGGCCCTAGATCCGAAGTCGGCAGGTAACCTACCGCCATCTACTCGGACCGTGATGGCGTTAACGGAAGTCGAAGCGTTTGCACTTATAGCAGATGAAGTGAAGTTCATTACAAGTCAGTTCAGGCGGATTCACAGTCGACAAGTTCAACACACGTTCCGGTTTTATTCGCAACAATGGAGGACGTGGGCCGCGAGCTTTATCCAAGCGGCCTGGAGGAGGTATTCTAGAAGGAAGCTTCTAGAATCCCATCGGTTGGAGGAAGAAGAAGAAGAAGATGATGAATATCAAGATTACGATGAAGACGAGGATGACGATGATATTAATGTTAACGAAGAAAGTGCGTTGATACGAGGACGTGCATCATCCTCATCGTTTGGTGCAACGATGTTAGCATCGAAGTTTGCCGCAAACACTATGAAACGAATTCAAAGGAAGCGTGGTACGTCTACGGGGTTTATTAATCTTCAAAAGCCTTCCGAGCCGGATTTTGGTGCAGAAGATAAATAGCGTTCTTCTTTCTACCTGTAGATTAAAAGCAGACAAAATGCAGCACAATGCAACAAAGTCTGTTTTAGTTTCTATCTAGTGTAATGAACGAGTTTTTTCTAATTCAATGTGACAAAGTTTCAAATTTTCCTATTTTGATCGACACCCTATTGATCATGTAACATTTGATGATGTGGATGTCAAACTATTTTGTTTAAAAAATATAACTGAGGGATCAGTAGTATCCTAGTCAAAAATAACATTTTTCATCCATGTAGTTTTAAAATTACAAGATCGTCATCATGGTTTACAAAAACGTCTGAATTGTGTACCTCCCCTTAACGGTTGTTAAAAAATTTTGCTAAATAAGGGACATTTTCGTTCTTTTATCAAATTTTTGTCTTGTACCCAATCAAAAATCACAAGAACCAAAATCATTAAATTAATTTTGATTGCTTAAAAGAAATAAAAATCGATAAAAGGACGAAATGCACCTTATTTAACGAAAATTTCTAGCAGCCGTTAGAAAGAGGGATCTAATCCAACGTTTTTGCAAACCACGATGGCCATCTTGTAATATCAAAACTATAGGGACAAAAAGTGTTATTTTCAACAAAGCACATGAACCAAATTTGTAGTTTATTTTTGTAACGTTGATGCCAAGTTGTCAAGTTCTATCGATTGAAAAAAGAAAATGATAACGGAGGGTCACAAGGTTACTGGTCAAAAATATATTTATCGACAACTTGACATCCATGTTTTCAAATGTTACAAGATTAGCACGTTTTACGTCAAAACAAGTACGGAATAGAAATTTTTGAAACTTTATTACATTGATTGTTTGAAAAAACAATCTTAGTTACATTAAATAGGAATCGAGACAAACTTGTTGTATTTTGACGCATTTTGCCCATTAAAATTTTTCCAAATCGGCTTCAACCGTGAATTACGTATGTTGTAGCCATTTTGATGTCATGTAGACCGACTCGAAAGCATCAAGGCTTACCTTGTTGACATAATGGATGAATCCATCTACATATATCCTTCACTGCGATCAATACGAGACCTATTAACAAAAACGAAAGCCGAAAAAATTGTGGAAAATTATACAAGATGAAAATGGTGTACTGATATACATATGAAAACAAAGTGAAATGATCGTATCTGGGCTCTGCCTCCCACTGCGTGTTTAGAAACGATCTTTTCCTGTTTTCGTGTTGTTTCTATCGGGTTCGGTTCAGTTACGCCATGCTGAAGATAACTCCAATTCGGCGTCTTCCTCCCACCACGTTGCAGTCTGAAGAAGAACGAGCCAAATCACGAGTTGGAAAGAAAAACTATCAAAAATAGTTACGTTCACAAATCCGGAGCAAAGTATGCACTATCATTACAAAAAATGGGGTAAGCGCTAGACTAACAATGAAATTCAACCAAACAGACCACACATATCCCACGCAGAGAGATAGGGTCCGGACTGGGGCGGACCCACTCTATTGGATACATGACACGGGCCACCGCTTTGTTCTTCCATTGTAGTGTAAAAAATTATAGGGTCGTGAAATGGGCCACTGTATTAATTTGTTATGTGTCACCGTATATATTCTGAAACTACAATGATGACACAAGTTTCTCATGGTAGAGTTGGTTTACATACCTTTTCTCCCACACGAGACACAAGTTTGAATTCTGTTATGGTCATTTTCTTGGTTTTTAGCTTTTAATTTCAGATTTATTATGTTTAATGATAAATTGGCAATAAAGAACTTGAACACAGGACCTCACATACGAAAAAGAATGAACTAACAAACAGACCAATGATGATTTTATGAAAAATATCCATATATTTGTTTCTTATGATCAAATGGTGCCACCACTTAATAAAATTTCTAGGTCCGCCTCCAAGTTCAGAGGTAAGAGAATCTCCAACACTTCCACAAAAGAACCAAAATAGAAGAAAAAAGAGATTTTGGAGTGTTGGGCTCTTTTTTTCCTCCAAAAGCTTCTGGAGAAAACAGGAGAAAGTGAGAAATTTTCTTCAAATCTGAAGGATTCTCCAAAATTAAATGGAGGAAGAGAGAGAATGACTTTTTTTGTTCTTTCAAGAAAAAAACTCTATAATCATACCAATAGCATTAAATGTTTTAAAAATTATTAAATATTTAATAATATAATTAATCAAGGAATTTCAAAAGTGGAAATCTTTTTGGAGTTAAGCATGCAATTTCTTTTTGGAGATTTTAACTTTTAGTTCTACATTTTAGAGAAATTGTAAAGAAATTGTTGGAAGATGTTTTATATACAGATCTTACCTTTGTTCCAAGAGACATAAAGATTGTTTCCAAGAAAGCCCCGAATCTCAAGAGAGGTTTAGAAAAAAGCACAACTAAGTATTTTTTTTTTCCTTACAAAAACTACATAAAAATTGTCTTGGTATTGACCATAAGTGCTTGTACAGAAATGAGAGATTGACCAAAAGATGTGCTTGTTAGATCCCAAGCAAATCGCAATTGTGATGCTCTCAGTAAAATGTGACTATTTATCAAATGTCTAAAATACCGATCCATACAACACAGGAATTTTGTGGATTACCATAGATTTATGAAGGCATTTTTCTTTTAATAGATCAGAAGATCATGGATTTAATTCAAATCTTATTTAAGATTATATACCTAAATAACTGGGTTTTTTATAGAAGGGTAAACTACATTCTTGGTTCCTATGGTATGCCCGAGCTTTGGATCGAGTCCCTAAAACACATTTAATGCACATGGGTGGTCCCTAACTTTTGATTTTCATAACAAGTTGGTCCCTCGAGTTAACACCATTAAGTTGAGGTCCGTTAACCCACTCATAATAATGGGAAAACAAGTAATTTAACCCTGAAACTGTTTAGAAAATAAGAATAATGCAATTTTCGTGGGTGGAGGGAATTAAAGGGAAGAGAATGAAACCTTGTAGCCCCTGCGAAGGAACTCAAGTTGGCTTCCTTGTTCCTCCTTGAGTCCAAGGACCCTTAGTAGCTCTTCCTTTGTCTGCACAAACACAAAACCAAACAGTATATGAGAATTCATGCCTTCTTTTCAAAAGAGTGAAAATCCATACAATGTATTTAGGTGTATAACCTTAAATGATATTTTAATTAAATCCATGACCTTCTGATGAGCAGAGGCGGACCTATAAATTTTTTCAAGTGATGATACAATCTGACTATATAAAAAGTATCTAAGTTTTTTTTTCCATAATATTAGTATAGATTTGTTGGTTGGTTCCTTGTCCTTACATAGAAAAGACCCATGTCCGAGTCCGGTCTATATATATTTTTGAAAACACGAGATATAAAAAAAAACACCAAAATTTAAGCTATTTGACAACTGTGGATTCAAACTTGGGTCTTTTGTACAAAGGTAGGAGCATTTACCATCTTAGCTATTAAAGTCTTGTGTTAATATTTGAGTTTCAAAAACTATATGGTGGCACCCAAAAAAGAAGAGGGTGGCACCCTTCAGAAACGTAGTTTTTTCCCCTTATGAGGAACCATGAAAGCGGTGGCACAATCCAAAGTGGGTCCGCCCCTGTTGATGAATATGGAGCCACTTTTTCTTTAATTGGCTTGGAGGTCGTGGATTTAATTAAAATTTCATTTAAGGTTATATACCTAAAGGGTCAAGTTCAGGGAAAACCGCAAAAAAAATGAAAAACTAAGGAACAACCTCGTAACCCTTTATCGGGATGGTATGCACATGTGCATACAAGTAACTGAAGTTGTTTTTTGTTTTTATGCATGTTACAAATTACTTGTATGCACATGTGTATACCGTCCAGATGAATTGTTACTAGGGTGTTCTTTAGTTTTTCATTTTTTTGCAGTTTTCCCTTGAACCTCCCTCTATACCTAAATATCTCCAATGAACATGTACTTACTTCATTAAGTGTGAAGCGGGTTTCACTTTCCGCAACACAAGCGTATGAGTTATCCGTTTGCTTAAGCATCACTTGCCAAGGTCCTACAATGGGAAATGTAAAACACCAAACATAGAATAATATCAGTATATCCCACTCGAAAGTAGGGTCAGGTACTATTATTTTATACATTTTATTTCTATACACGTAAAACGGAACACTTATATGAGTTAAACTACTATTTATATATTTTATATTTTACTAGCAACGTTTTTTGCTTGATGCTAGATAATTGATGTATGATGTGGCCTAAAGAGACGATGTTTTTTGGTTTGATGCTAGTTCAATGGTCGAGTATGATACAATTATACAATGGGAGCAACGAGCATTGCATTTGGAACAATTATTGAAGGCAAGTGTCCAGCAAAAAAAATGTAAAACTCTAATTTGGTTTACCCGGTTAACAGACCGGGTATCTCAAAAACCGAATAACTGAAACCAATTAAACTGAACCATATTCGGTTCGGTTATTGGGTAGTATGGAAAAAGTTGAAAACCAATTAACCTGAAAACTGATTTAACCGACTGAATAACACCCCTAGTCCCTAGAAGACCTTGAAGAAAACTCCAGGTTCGTGATCAAAATTTTGTGAACCAGCACACACCACACACACCACATGAGAGAACGTCGAGAGAAGACAATAGACGTAGTTTATCTATCAATCACAATTCTTACCAGGGTATTGGCGGAAGAGTGCTCCATCATAATTCACGATATATGGTGGTACTGCCACTGTCTTGCATTTTAAAGAAAAATGTTTATGAAACTAATGTCAAACATAAGAACAAAAAAATGTAAACTTATGGGCATCTCCGATGGGTAACACCAAATCCATAAAAAATGGTATAACATTTGGTTCAAACAATAAATCTTCTCCAATGGGTAACACCAAATCATACAAAAAAATGTAAGATTTTAGGTATATTCCTTTTTAGGGAAATTTACAGAAATAGTCGGTCTGCCAAAGAGGTTTCACTTTTTAGCCATTTTCAAACTTCATCTCACTTGTAGCCAATCCTTACGCAGAAGGCTTAGGCAGAAAGTGGAATCCTTACGAAGTTATGCAGAAAGTGTCTGAAAACCAATCCTTGCGCATATGCGTAAGCCTTCTGCGTAAGGATTGGCTAAAAAGTGAAACTCTATTTGCTGATTGGCTATTTTTGTAAATTTCCCACCTTTTTTATCTTCTCCAATTGGTGTAAAATTTGGTGAAAATGGATAGTATTACACCAAAATTTGGTGTGTTACTATTCATTACACCAAATTTGGTGTGGTATGCCCATTGGAGTGATTGGCATCAAAGTTGGTATTTTGGTGTAAGATTTGGTGTCCCCATTGGAGATGGTCTAATACAAGCATTAGAGCAGAAGGGGTACCTTGGAATACTCTCTTACACGAATATAAAAGACCGGAACAAATTGAGAGAGAAATCGGTAGTGTAAATCTTTGGGCGGAAAACCAAGAAGACCAAGGTCAGCTCTGCCGAGTCCAATGGTTTCATTTGTCAAAGAAAGTAAAGTTAATGACAAGAAAGATTAATTCTATTTGAATTTAAGGATCCAAGATAAATTACCGCAATGTCTCAAGCTCTAGATTGAATAGCAGGGCAGGTGTTGATTTAGCAAATGTTTCCTGCACGTGGCATGCAAGAAATGAACAAGAACTCGAAGAAAACAGGAGGAAAGAAAAAATATATAGGGAGGTCCATAGTGAGTGACTGGTTAATAAAATATAATTCTCTGGGGCCAAAATAAGTGTCCATAATCTTAATTTGTCCCAAAATAAGTTTCCACTTAAAGATAAGTGTTTTTAGATGATTTCGATATTTAAGTTTGCGTTTCTTTTGAAATTCTTGTTAATTTGTCCGGAGTATGTGTTCCCCAACAATGGTGTTTTACAAAGGATTTCCAAATAACCCAAAACCATTTCAATCCGAACCTCATTTGGTTTGCATAGGTTACTCAACTTCGGACTTTTTCTTGTTATCCCTAGGTGTGCCCCCAATCAGCTGTGATCCTGGATCCACCACTGGGCAGTTCTTAAATCTATCAGAAGGTAATACATTTAATAAAACATATGCTGGAAGGTTATTCTCCTAAATAACCTTCAAAACATAAAGTAAATATGTAAGCTACCAAACTATAGATGCCTCGTATCTTTTTTCTTGGTCTCCAAAAGGTATGCTCCACTGCTCATCTAAGTATATGTTGCTAACAGTAGTGGCCTACTTCAGTTGATTATTTAAAAAAAATCAAAAGAAAGAAAATTGAAGCTAGTCCATGTAATAGTGGGCCACATCAAGGTGTAACCAATTAGACACCATTGCTATTAAACCCGAAGGTGGGGTCATTTTTTTTTTTGGGGGGGGGGGGGGGGGTTAAGATGTATGTACGCCTCACTACCTCAAAGGGTAGAGCGTTTGTTTCCTTGACGACCCCCGGCTTGTGACAAGTTGTGAAAGAAAGAAAGGCATGCATTGCTAGTTTGATGCTTAAAATATATACACCCTAATCTCTAGCCACTGTGAAAAGTGAAAAATGAACAGAGAAAAGGATCATGCCATCACACTTGTAACTAGATTTGCATATCATGGACTTAGAATCGGGTGAGATAGAGATGAATATAAGAGAAAATACACCCTACCACATATGTCTCGATGGTAGCAAGTTCACGGGTGCTGCAACCGATGAATATAAAAAGTGTTGGTGGTTTGTCAGACTGCCACCTCCCTGTGTCCATAAAAGATATCAATATAAATATAAAAATTGTCGAAGGTTGTGATTCTGTTATGTAGTCATTCAAACAATCACAAGCATATATTGCTACAAGAAACAGTTTCACATTTAAAGGCTACAGTCTAGGAGCTTAAAAATGTTCAGTTTCATAGGACTCACCTTCATTTTCATCATCAAAATCAAAATCAAGTGTATTCCTTATAGATTTGAAGAAATTAGCAACAGGACCAGCAGGAATATCATCCAAGGAAGCAATAGTGATCCCATCAAGCTGGAAGAAAAGCACAAACATTTAATTACATGTAATTGTCTTTTCCCCAAAAATATACAGTAAGAGACTTACATAACATTTCTATATTATGATGCAACTCAAGATGTTACAGGTAGCATATACACACAAGTGAATCGGATATATCCATTCCAAAAGAACTGAAAGACAAAAGTCAACATTTATTGTATGATGCATTGAGACAGTACAAAAAACTTGTCTTGCCCTGTATGTTTTATATTTACTGTAATGTGTGATATTACACAGAACCATGAACGCCTCCTGTATGTGATAATGCATTGAAAGACAAGAACTTGGACTGTGATGATGACATATGTGATCTAGTTCAAGGAGACTCAAACAAAACCCTAAAAGCCATTCTGGAGGACAGATCCCTTATGGTATGCTTAATAAATAAACATTCAACTTCAGGTTTCCTCAAAGCCATTCTGAAGGAAAGATCCTTGAGCACTTGATCCTTAAGTTGAAGGTTGACACACTTCCTTCTTCCCCTCCAGTTTCTTTGCTTGTTTCTTTAGGGGGCTACTTCTTACCGCTTGTTTTTCAAAAGACCCAGGAATTTAAATGGATCAATTTTTTTGATTCCCGCTGGAAATTAGGAATAGATGAATTGTGTATAGGACCCATTCTATTTACAGAATTTATCACTACTTTAGCTACTTTAGAGGCCTGGCCTGTTACTCAGAATTCTCGGTTATTCCATTTCTTGATGGCCTGCCTATTAACACACCCATGGTACTTCTGTAGGCAATACACAAGTATGGTATTCAAACTCAAGACGTCTAACATGTTCTGAGCAAGCCCCAACCAGTTGCCAAAATTAGTAATTTTCTTGCGGGTTGCTCATCTCTAGGATATAAACTATAAAGAGTACTCTTCCTCCTGGTTGCTCACCTCAAGGATACTCCTTTCAGCTCGTTTATACTTATGTTACCCTAATGATTGCAAAAAGAAAATCAAGGTTAAGCATATGTGATGCCTTCTTTACAGGTATCAAGATTCCTCTTCATTTTTGGATAGAGTGAAGGTGTCACTTATTGGGGGTTAAACCAACATGCTACTCCAATGGCATGACTATCCCTTTTCGTTGTTCTCTTTGCTAAAATATGCTTTTTTTTTTTCTTCTTATAGTTAAAATAGCACCACTGGACAAGCAGTTCTTAGTGGACCATGCTGTGGTTGGCAGTCTGCTTATAACAATAATGATTGGAAAAGTTAATTTCCTGAACCAGACATGAGTTCCCCTCTTATATTTCTGAACAAAGTCCAACTATCCTTCTTACTCCCTAGCTCACTGCATAGGATGGATGAAGACACCAATAACAAGGGATTCTTTTGGGGGAGTGAAACCAACTCCAGTTTAACAACATGCATAGTCTCAAGTGCACCCATATACATATTATGGAATATAAAATAAATCCTTATAGAAATTACTTCTAAGTAGGTTACTCGGTTACCAAGTCAATAGCTGATTTATATAGCTCCGAGGCTCTACGCTTTTCTGGTTTGTCAGGAAAAACCTACATCAAATGAAAACTTTAAGTATATATGGGAGATATATCCAATGAAGAAAATTCATCGAATAAAAAAAAAATAAGTAGTCTTACAATGCAAGCTCGTGTTTCCCTGTTCTCCTGAAGCTTCCTAACAACAGCCAAGGCAAGTTGAACATTGGCATCATTAAAATCATCTGAAGATCCCTTCACAATTTCATATAGGGGAAGCTTTAACTAAGAAGGGAAAAGCTTCACGAAGCCTCATTCTACAGAACCAGCAAGAAAGCATGAAGGCTATGAAGATACCTTATATGAAGAAATGCTGGTAGGCAATGGCCTGTTGATGCCATCAATTTAAAAAGTAAGCACGGGAAAAAATAACAAAATGTGAGCAGTAGCTTATCAAAATTATGAAAATTGAATAGGGATCACGTGATCAAACAATGTATATGCTCCCAGACATTGGCTATTACAATTATGAAGAACCCTATGGTAATAGTTCCAGTCATTGTTCTTTTTCTTGATCTAGGTGGACATTCATATAAGCACAATATGTCGCTACCAATAAACAAAGTGATCAATTTTCTTAACCATTTATGCTTTCTTTTTCTTTTTGCAAATAAACCCACCCCTGTTCTTGCGAAATACACATAAAAAGCACCACCCTAAATGAGTGATGTGAGAATATGTGGAACCTATTAGATTACTCTATAAAAGAGCAGCCCTTGAGGAGAGAAAGAAGGTGTCATCATGTATTAAGAAGAAATGGTCCAAGTCTAGTCAATGTTGACCCTAACACGTGTCCTCCAACAAAGGCTAGACGGGCACAAACTGTCCCAAACTGTCAAGAGGGGCTAGACGAGTACCAATTTCCCCAGATTGTTGAGTCCTTAGAGTGGTATACCTTGGTTGTGATACCATGTGACAACAAAAGAAAATTATGGAAATAATAACCAATTTGACAAAATGATTTCACTTTATAGCCATATCCGCACCCACTTTCACTTAATAGCCAATCCTTACGTAGAAAGTTTAAGTACATGCGTAAGGATTGGTTTTCAGCAAAAAAAATCCTTACCCAAAAAGAGGATCCTTACGCAGAAAACCAATCCTTATGCATATACGCGAGCTTTCTGCGCAAGGATCCTCTTTTTCTACGCAAGGATCCTCTATTTTCTTCTTTTTTAGCCGAAAACTAATCCTTACGCATATGTGTAAGCTTTATGCGTAAGGATTGGCTACAAAGTGAAAAGAGGTCTGAAAATGGCTGTAAAGTGAATTGATTTTGGTAGATTGGCTATTTTTGTCAATTTCCCAAAAAAAGCCTAGATGGAGATTCCATCTTGAGTTGAAATTGCTAAGTCTAGCCATGTGAAACTCTAACAATCGATAATCCAACGGAAAGTGTCAGATAAAATGGTTATTTACAATTACATTTTCGCAGTTTTTCCAAAATTCCTTAACAGGTACAGCGTACTAACGGCTGTTTTTGGGATTAAAAAATACCATTCACTCAACAACCAAATCGTGCAAGCTGAAGCAACAATAATTAGATTTACGAAAGAACAAATACAAAAAACAAGACCAGAAAGTATTCAATAAAATGCAAAGGATAAGAGAATTACGGGAAATCGATTTCAACGCGGGTTTTGCAGTCGTCAAGAGCGGAAGCAAGGGAATTGGCGGCGTCTGTAACAAGAACTTCGTATGATTTTGGCTTGTAAACCGATACTCCAAGCTTTCGAGCAGTTTTTGGAGTCGAAGAAGCTTCTTTGTTGCTACACCTGATTGAATTCACTGCAAATTTATCGGGGGAAGATCGCAAATTGAACAGTATGCGAGCAGGGAAGAGAGAAAAAGGAGCAGAGAGAATGAGATGATGCTGCTGCTGCTGCTTGTGAGTGTGCGAGTACAGATGCGATGAGGAAGGCGAGAAGGAGGAAGCCATTGAAGCCCTGGCCAGAAATTGAGGTGGAGGAGAGATAACGATACCAAACCTTGTGAGCAGTTGGAGGTAATTGACGGTTAGGGAATCAAGCTTTTGTAATTTCTTTGATTTTTATGTGATATTTTTTTATTAACCCGATATCCAACCTGTTATACGAGTAAACTAATTCGGGCGATCGTTTGTTTTGTGCATAGTTCGGAGTCATTGTATTTGAACCTTCATGGCCATAAGAGATTTTTATTCCTCATTTAATTCGAACTTGAGATCTCCAGACACTTTGGGCAACGTATTTCCAAAACTTTTATTTTGGTACCTAAGATGTAAAGTTTTAAAAGTTTAAGTATCTGGTTAACCGGTTGAAGACTAATTTTAGATTAAAAAAAAACTAATTTTAGAATAAAAAAATCTATATCACTAACCACGTCAGCAAATAATACTGAGTTGGATACCACATCACTCGCCACATCTGCATGATAACCGGTTAATGCTTCAACCGATTACCCGGATACTTAAATGTTTAAAATTTACATCTTAGATATCAAATAAAAGTTTTGAAAGTATGTTACCCAAAATAAGAATTTAGTTAAAGTACATTATTTTTTTATGTAATTTGTCCTTTACAAAAATAGCCAAAATTGATATGTGGTTTCACTTTTTAACTATTTTCCGACCAAAATTAACTTTTTAGACAATCCTTATGCATATGTGTAAGGATCTTTTTTGGGGTCGAAAACCAATCTTTATACATATGCATAAGGATTGGCTATAAAGTGAAATTGGATCCTGAAATTGCTATAAAGTGGATTGATTTAGAATAAATGAGCGTCATATGGCTACCTGCAAAGCAGGTGGTGGTTTTGAGATTAGTCGGCTCACATAACGGGTTGGATATCTAGGTTAATCCGAAAGAAAAAAAAAACTTACTAAAACTGAGAAAAACCCGATCAACTTTCATATTTTGAGCGATTAGGCCCTCAACATTTTTTTAAACCAATAAATCCTCACATTATAAAACGAAACAAATTTAGCAGTTGTATTTTCATGTATCCACAAATCAATAGAAAGGTTACGTGTCTGTTAATTTTTTTAATTTATTTTTCAGACTTGTATGTGTCTGTTACGATCATGTGGTTGTCATTTAAATCTGAAAAAATAAATATTTGTTTGTACTTCATTATTGATCTGAAAAATAAATAATGGATAATGAAGATGGTATTTAGGGGCTGTTTACCCAAATGCTTACCCAGTAAGTGTTTACTTATAGGAGTCAACACTATAATTTACTTTGATGCGTAAGATTTTAGTACACCAAAACGTATCGAGTGCAATAATTTACCGGGTAAGCATTTACCTAGATAAGAGTCGTCATATTCACTTATCGGGTAAGACTCTTCATCCTTTTCATTACACTTACCCGGTAAGATTCTTAACACTTGTCATGTTCATCCAATAAGAAAATTTATCCAGTAAACATCTACCAAATAAGCGTTTAGTAAAAGGCCCCTTAGTCATTTTTTATTGGGTTATTGTACTTCGTTACTAATCTAGAATTGTAGATAGAACGATTGAGAAATTATATATTGCTCTTCGTTTTATAAGTTTTGAGGATTTAATCCATCTTTTGGACTTAAGTCTTAAGGGCTTAATGGGCCTCATGGGCTTAGAATAAATTGTGCTATGTCTCGTTCACAATTTATTGGTTGGATTGGATCCAACTTGTATTGAAGCAGGGACGATTGGACGGATCATGTGTATTCTTAATCGGTTATAAAATCGGTCTGGTTAATGACCGATTATAATGAAACACGAACTGGTTATGAAGTGATCGTATGAAACAAGTCATGTCCGACCGGTTATGGATACTTTATTTCAAATCGGTTGTGAATCGAGTCTTAATAAACCTATTACAGGGACCGAACTAATCATTTTCGAATTTTAAATTACCACATGGCAGGTTGTAATTGGTCACAAGAAGAGCCATTGAGTTACCTGTTTTTTTTTTTTTTTAACTTTGTGATGAGTTTGACTATTTACCAAATCTCATTTACTTTGGATTCGAATCCAGCTGCTATGAAAGCCCTTGTGATCATGAAGGTTCACCTGTGATGACTGTATGCCATTTGTAGTCATCCAGGGGAGATAATCTGTGTGCATAAACTAATCGGGAAACCAACAGTTACGAAAAACGAATTGCCAAATTTTAAAACTCAATAACAATAATTACAATAAACAAAAATCAAAAACGAATACTATAATCATTATACGGTTTCTTCCCCAAGTCACCTCCGGCCCGGGCCGTCCCAGTCCCAATCCCTCACCCCCAGCCTTTCCCATCTTTGGTTTCTGAAACAACCTTCATTGCCATTAACGAAATAGAAACAAGAAGCTTCACAAAACGGAGGTATGTATCAAGTCAGTTCATTTCTGGTAGAGAAATTGAACCTATTGTTTCTTCTAGTGAATCTTTCGGTTGAAGATTTGCACAAATAGTTTCAAAAATACCTGCTACTGTCGATTTGTTCTTAAAATGGGTTTGTTTTTTTAATTTTGTTATTGAAAAATTGGGTCTTTTTTATAGAGAGGGGGGAGATCCCTCCAGATCAAGAAAAAAGAAACGCTAAAAGCCAGACAAATTGGGTTTGTAACCACAAGGGTGGTGTCCGATTGGTTTGAACTTGAATTTCAAAGATTAAAAGTGTCTGGAGGTCCCAGGTTCGTATCCAAGGAGAAATAAAAATCCTCTTGTGACCACGGGGGTTCAAATACGGTGACTCCAAGCTACCCGCAAAACGAGTGGTCATTTTGGGATTAGTCAGCTCGCATAGTTGAGTGGATATACATGTTAATGGGAAAAAAATGGTTTTGTATTGTTAATTTTATTGTTAATTGACTAAAATCTTACCCAGTAAATAAATGATAGTGTTGAATTTTACTAGTAAACGTTTATCGAGTTAATGGAAGGTGAACGTCCCCTTACTCTATTTTATATAAAATGAGAAAACATATTGCTTGGAGAAAAATATAAAATAGATTATTATTTTATTATAAAAAATATTTCGTTTAAAATAAATTGTTATTATATTTACTTAATTTTTTAAACCATATTTATCGATTTTCATAAAATGAGAAGCCACTCACCAAGCTTAACGGACACGTGACATGCACCAAAAACATGACATGGCTTAGACGTGAGCAGGCATCTTGTTTGTATGATTTCTTAATTGTGAAGTTATTCGTTTGTTTTCTTATTTATCCTAATAAATGTTTACCAGTAAAAATCAACACTTTTGTTTATTTTATTAAATAAAACTGTAAACAATCTATAGATTCTAATATTTTTTCTTTTTTCACAACAAGTTCCGTCCAAACACGTATCCACAATTCAATCGGTAAGCGTTTATCAGATAAGAGTCGTCACTTGCCGAATAAGACTTTACATCTTTATTATCGCTTTTACCAAGTAAGATGCTCGACTCTTACCATGTACAGCCAATAAGGTAAATAACGTAATAAGCGTTTACTCCAACAACTATGATAAAGTGAACATTTGAACCTTGTTTTTGCTCCAACAACTATGTTAAATGGTAGTGGTGCTCAAAAACCCGACCAACCCAACCCAACGTGAAGTAACTCAAACCGAAACAACCCGATTTTTAATCGAGTTGTAAAGTTTTCAAACCGTAGGTATTGGATTGATATTGAGTTACTATTATATTTGAACCTAACCCAACCCGATGAACCCGATATTCTTTTATTTATTGGATTTAATATGATTGTTAAATTTCTATTAATATATACATTAGATAATTACACTATCACGTACGCTCTTCATATACACATATTTTCAATCTATTCACATCTCTATATAACTCATTTGTATAAATGTCTTGTAACTGTGAACATATATATGTAAATTGAGAAAATTAACTGAATGTGATATACGTAAGAATTATGGATAAGTTGTATCAAATGGTTGATAATGAAAAATAAATTATGAGTAAAAAAATAACATATTCAAGGTTAAAAGAATATTTTAATGTATCAAAGTATCAACCTGACCAACCAGTACGGTTTCGGTTGGGTTGCACTTTGGTTTGGGTTGGTTGGATTAATATTTTTCAAACCACAAACATTTGATTAAGTTATTCAAATATCTTCAACCTGATTAACATAACCCATGAGCACCTTTATTAAATTATATGCTAAATAAACAAAAGAATGCAATTTTTTTTTTAAAATTTTGATAAATCTCTAAAACTTCACATCGAGAATAAAGATATATTATTTTTAACTGTTTCTACCAATGAGGTTAACATGTTATAATTTTCTATAAAATTATTTGGATGATGTATTTATTAAATATTTTAATAATATAATTAATGATATAATTGTTAAAGTAAAATTATTATTGGATTTAAATATAATTTTCTATAAAAGAATTTAATTTTAAATATTATATTTTAGAAAAATATAAGATAAGATTTAATTTTCAATGGCTTTTTTTCTCCTTTTTCTTTTTCTTTTTCCGGTGGCATGCTTTCCAAAAGTCTGAAGACGATGCATGAGGCTCGATAAAGGCACGTGACACACATCATACAATTTTTCATTTTTAAATACATAAATTAATTATTAAAATATAAGTATTTATTTTAAAAGAAAATATCATTGTTTCTATAACCATGGGTTAGTATATTCTTGTTTGTTAAAAAAAAAATTGTTATTAGCTTTTTATATCTGATTCATTAAGAGATGGAGTCATTTATCAGAGATATTTATGTGCTATTTTTTTCTTATCTGGTAAGAAGTAAACCAACTTTTTATTTGTCTCTTAATGTTCACCAAACTCTTAGCAATGACATTTCTCAATCCATTAACCTTAATCGATCTTAATGACATTTCTCAATCCATTAACCTTAATCGATCTTTACCAAATCGATTCTCACATGTCTCAATTGATGTATTTTAATATGATTTAAATGTATTAAATATCATTAATGACATATTTTCATTTAAATGATGTTAATTATATAATTTAAATGTAAATTTCGTAACAACGATGATGAATAAATATGTGAAATTGTATACATTTATCTTTAAATTCAACATTATAATTTTCAAATTGGTAAAATATACAATTTAAACAAATTCAAACATTTATCAGTTTACAAACACAAACAATCTAAAAAATTTATATTTCACATTTCAACATCATCTCTTATTAATCAGAAATGAAATAAGACTTCAAGTTTCAACACCTCTTAAAAAACAAACACCAACTGTGTCTATTAAATTAAAATTTAACAAAAACAATGTTATTAATAAGAAGTGGTCTCACGGGTCTCACGAAAACATTTGAAGCTTACCTTCACAACGTTTTGTTGTGAAATTTCAATTGTAAAAAGGTGGTCTCACGAGTTTCACGAAAACATGCTGGTCACACACACACACACATATATATATATATGAATGTATGTCGCCTTATGCCACACCAATTGAGAACATTGTGGTCTCAACGTAACTTGTAAAACTCGAGGCTTGACATTGCTTTCACGCCACACCAAATATCATTTATAATCCTGAACCAGTTTGGAAACACTAATTTATCAGGTCGGATTTCAAAATATTTGGTATGAAAAAAAAAACAAACTGCTCAACCTAATGCTGATTAATGACTTCATGAACCAGTTTTTATGCTGCATAAAAAGGGATTCCTATAGCCTATATGCATCATTTTTAATGTCAAAATCATGTCCAATCATACATTAAAAATGTAAAAAATATTTTTTTATATTAGCATTACTAGAAGAAAATTACTAAATAGAGATACATTTATCTCACCCTCAATAAATCCACATCTCATCTCTATAATTAGATTTTTTTATTAACTTGAATATCCAACCCGTCATGCGAGCTGACTAATCCCAAAACGACCACCTGCTTTGCAGATAGCCCGGAGTCACCGCATTTGAAGTTTGAACATCCATGGCCACAAGAAGATTTTTATTCTTCCTTGGATTTGAATATGGGATATTCTAGTACTTTTGACTTTTGAAGCCAAACTCAAACTAATCAGATATCACCATTGTCGTTAATTTATAAAAATAATTATAATTATAATAATTAGAATTAGATTAATTTGTAAAAATAATAAAAATAAAGAATTAAAATCCAAGCTCCAATAACTATCGGCCACGTGTTCATGGTGATCCCTTGACGCCACCACCTTTACGGAAAAAGCGTGAATGCACAAAGGTGCATGAAATGTGAATAGGTGTAGCGCCACTACCACTGGGCTGCAACTCACCACACTGCATAAACTCCCAACTGTCCATCGTCTTTCTCTGACGGTGCCGCCGTGACGGAGACGAAGCCATGGAATTCCTCAAGTTTATCTGCCCTAGTTCTCCTTATGTACGTAAATTCGTCACTTCTTATGTTCAATATTCATTATCTATTGCCTGTAGTGTTTAAGAATGGCGGTTTCTGGAACAGAGTAATGAGTTGATCTAATGGTCTTCTTGTAGATTAAGAAGTAATGATTTCATGTTATTGTGTAAGAAATACTTGTTAATCAACGAAATTCATTTGTCTCAGTTTAAAACAATTTCAGCTTCGTTGTTTCAATAATCAATTTATATGATTTCAGAAGTTCAGGCATCCAAATTTTGTTTAGTTGAAGTGATTTATTGTTTGATTTCTGGAAATTATTATGTACTGCAGATGAATATTTTTGCCGACATTTAATTTCGTTTTGTTTCGAGTATTTGATACTTGAGACGACTCAAAATGATCCAAATTTGGCTTATTTCCTGAATCTATGACTCTATTCGTTCACAAAAAGGAGATGCACTTAATTTTTTTTAGGCAAAACTAGTTCTTTAGGTTTTCAATCGCATATTCATAGCAACCTTATTCTATTCTTAGTGTTCCTTATAGAGTTTAGTGTCTTTGGTAATTTTTTCATCTCAGATATTTGGAAATTTTCAAATTTTGAATTGAGTATAGTAACCCATTGAAAAGAAAATTTGGTTACATTTGTTGACATGGTACGATAATAAAATCTGATTTGTTGAAAAATACTTGCACCACCTTTTGTGTGTGTATATTTGAGGGAGAATCTCATGCATAAATTCTCATCAAATCCAATGGTCTGTGATACCAGGGTAGCAAGATGACAAGGTACCACTTTTAAAACCCATATTTTCTCTCATTAGATGTCTATAGCTGTTCTTATTTATTTCAGAAGGATTACAATATGGCAATGCAGTTGATGGATATTTTCTACTTTTATGGATCATAATAAAATCACATGATAATACTGAATTTAGGTTGAAGCATGTTCCCTTTCCATGATCTTTCTTAAATTGTTCTAAGTCTAACTCTACTTCTTGGATCAGATATGGGATGGAAATGGAATTTCAAGATGCTTCAGTGACATATATCCTTTTTCTTCAGGAATTTTCGGTTATATCAATGCTCAGAAACACAGTTATTTATTATATTTCATGGTTTGTATTTCTTAACAAGATTCACAATGCTAGGTTTTGGAGCAAGTATGGTAACGTTTATCATAATTGTTGTGCTTGGAATTACTGAAAGGACTACCAGAGGACGTAGAAAGGTAACTAGCGTTTTATTGCTGGACTAAGTAAATGAGAGGAAGCAATATGATCTTGATGCTAGAGGGTAGAAAGTGATTCCTTTTTTTCATTTGTAGTCCATACAGTATTTTTCGACTTTATATGGTGGATCAACTCGTGTGCTTTAAGTCCCAAGACAATGTATATATGCTCTTTTCAACTACTGTCTTAGTTGGATTGCGAATGCAATTTTTTGGGGAGGGTACTGCTTGTAATTGTTTCACAACTTCTCCTTTACTAATGTTCACTGCAGATATACCTCTACGAGAAGGTCTTCTTGCTCCTTCTACCTGTCATTGGGGCATGCATGGCATGCTTTGACCTAATTCTGCTTTTGAGTAACACAAGAAGGGGTCGTCCTGCTTTATATCATGAGTGGCTCCTTAGATGCTCTCAACTTTTAGTATGGGTAAGGCTTCTGTTAATTCTTAGATAGCTGCAAAATTTTCTGCTATTAATTCTTTCCGTCTATACAACAGGCCACCATACTTCTTATTTCAAGGTGTGATTGCTGGTTATTTGTCTTATCTAATCGGGTCCTGTGCTTTTGGTGGTTGATGAAACCATTCTTAGGGATCCCAACTTTACTAGCAACCTTTTCTTCTTTGGAGGTATTTCTTTTTCAGCTTCATATATAGTGCTACATTCTTATTGTTATGTCTAATTACACCATTCTTAGGGATCCCAACTTAAGGGTTTTTTTTCTGTATTTTTTGTGTATGTGGCATGTGAAATACTTTCAACATTCTCTTTTTCTTGTGTAATTGAATAAGGTTTCTCCTTCAGTTTCATATTGAGCAGTATAGAAGCTCCGAATAAGGATAACCTAAAGTTTCTTCATTTGTCTATATATTATTTAGTTCGAGTGTTGGTAATATCAGGCTTAGTAATTATTATTAACTTATTCAGTTCTAAAATCTTTAGAATTGCATTGACTAAATGATGATTTTGGTCTGCAGACTTTTAGCTGCATCAATGAGAGCTCAATAATTTTAGTGGATGTCCTGTTTGGTATCTTGGTTAATATAATCAGGATGAAGCAGTCATCTCGCACAAACAGGTAATAGATTTGTAAATTCTGGTTCTCCATAAGATGCATAAATTCTTAACATCATTGGTAACTGGATAAGACTCTGGAGTTTTCTTGGGTGTTAACTGTATTGTTGTTATTTATTTCTCCATCTTTAAAGCTTAAATTCACAAACATGCATTTAATTGTATGCTGAAAACAATATTGAGCCTGCTGCTAGTTTCAAAGTGTAGATTATATAAAATAACTCCTCATTAACCTTCTTTGGGAGACGCCTTCAAAGAATATTTATTTGAAAGGTCCAGAGATTAGAGCCCTTCCTAGATTGGAAGCAGAATTGCATCCTTCTCTAAGTACAAAAAGTTAATATGTCTGCCCGTTATCTAGTAAACGTTATAATTACTAAAACTAAAACTTGAAATTCTTACTTATATTCTATTTAAAATCTTCTTTTGATTTTTTACCTGACAAACCTGTAGTTCAATGGAAGAATTGCTGCTTTCCTGTGAAATGGGTATAGACGACCGCTCTCGATCAAATCCTGTATGTATTGTTCTAGCACTCATCTTAATTTTAAGATGTAATTTATTTCCAGCACATCTTATAACTAGTATCAACGATACAGTATTTCATTACGCCCTATTTTAAATATGACATTGGATGAGAGATTGTAATTTTACATTATGAGTGGGTTGATTTATCTTTCCTCTCTTTCTCCACATTCTTATCAATAACTAATTGAATGTGAACTGTGCACAATCTTGGGAATATTAGTGTTTCATGTCTGTGATTCCTTGATGCTGTTTTAATGACTTGTGGTTGTGGTATAGGAGTGTTTCACGCTTTTCAGTTTCCCATTATGAAATAAGAGAACTTATGTGTCCTCTTTACTTGTTTTTCAAAGGGAGTTCCTGCCAGCTTCTTGAATCTCATGACATTCAGATCTATCAATTTGGTAATGGAACATGGTGCAAAGAAACAGCTTGACTTTGATGATTTGCTTCAACTACCGATTGACATGGATCCTTTGTTCTGCCATGATTCTTTGTTTAACTGTTGGGAAGATCAAAGAAGACACCGGCGCTCTGATCCTTCTTTGTTTTGGACAGTCTGTTATGCATATGGATGGCCATATATGTGTTTAGGCCTATTAAAGGTACTTTTGGAGAATATTTCCTTCCTACTTTCTAGATTACAGAAAGAAATGAAACAGACAAAGAAAGGTAAAAATAGTAGTTGTGGGCTTGTGGCCATAATTTAAGACTTCATTTCTATTTACCCATCATGACATTATTTAGAAAATTTTCTTTTCCATATTAAACTCCTCCCACTTCCCTCTGGGATCCAATTATATGTTAACTAAGATCACATCTGCTGAGCAAAAAGTTGGAAAACCAAAGAAGAATATATATATATATATATATATATATATATATATATATATATATATATAGA